ATGAGGTGATGATGAACCTGCTTCTGTCTTATAAATGAAAACAACACCTCAGAAAAGGAAAAAGTAATAAAACATGAGAAGTCAGGGTCCCTGGGAAACTCATGTGGCAGACTTTCCTCACCCCTCAGACTGTCAGTTGACCTGACTTTTATATGTGACCTTGCTTAAGCCATTTATATTTTGGTCTCTGTTAACAATTAACTGCCATGTGAGTTGTAGTTAACTCACGCTAGTTTTGAGCCCGGGGCCTCATGATCCATATGTAACTCACACATCTCTTCGCCTTAGGAGCCACGTGAACTATTTTTCAAGTTGCATATAACTCATATACAGAAAACAATTTTAAAAAAACCATATTTGGGCCGGGTGCAGTGGCTCAGGCCTGTAATCCTAGCACTCTGGGAGGCCGAGGAGGGCGGATTGTTTGAGCCCAGGAGTTCGAGACCAGTCTGAGCAAGAGCGAGACCCTGTCTCTACTAAAAATAGAAAGAAATTAATCGGACAACTAAAAATATATAGAAAAAAAATTAGCCAGGCATGGTGGCACATGCCTGTAATCCCAGCTACTCGGGAGGCTGAGGCAGAAGGATGACTTGAGCCCAGGAATTTGAGGTTGCTGTGAGCTAGGCTGACGCCACGGCACTCACTCTATCCCGGGGAAAAGAGTGAGACTCTGTCTCAAAAAAAAAAAAAAAAAAAAATTTCAATTCCATTTAATGGAGATTAGTTCCCTTGTTGAAATGGAAGAAAAAAATACATACCTATTATTGATCTTACATTCACCTACAATACTAAATAGATAATACAGATGATCACCACTTTTCTTCCTCAATGAATAAATTAACAAAGTAATATTTTAAAGGATCTTTCTATTCATTCTCTTACGGGACAATAGAGATGTGCAATACATTATAATCTGACTTCTAACTTTTATCGCACTGCTAAAGGGGATCTCCCTAAGGACTTTCAAATCACTAAATCCAATAAATATTTACTAAATTATTATTTTCCTTGATTTCAAAGCATTTGGTTCTGTTTGTTATATTTTCCAGCCTGAAATTCTTCTTATTCCAGTTTTAAACTTTCTATTCTCTCATGGCTCTGCTTTCACCTCTGATTCATTCATTCATTCATTCATTCATTTGTTTTTTGTTCATTCAGTCATCAAATATTTTTGAAGGTGTCTATCTTAGTAGTCAAAAGAAATACAGTCTCTGCCTTC